GGGTGCCTGATGAATAGGTAGGTGAAATCCCAGCTGCATGCGTTGTTATAAACCCAAATGCCAAAGAATGCGAGACAGACATCCTGGACTATGTAGCCTCCGACGTTGCACACTACAAGAACGTGAGGGTTTTGCAGTTTGTGCCTGTGGACAAAATTCCAAAATGCCCATCAGGGAAGATCATGACCAGGCTTTTCAAAGAAAACATGATGGAAAATATGGGGAAAAACAGTTCCACAGCTAATGCAACATTGCCTATTTAAGCTAAACTACATGTTTTTCTTCTTTTTTTCTTTTTTTTTCTTGTCTTAAATTTATTACTCCATGGCCTCAAAGTTATCTCGTTATTATACTCTTAAAAGAAATGTTTGAACTCTCCTAATATATATAATTAATAGCCGTATCATATTTCTTTCTGCTCGGGACTTTAAAGGTCTTAAATGTTAATGCTTGTTTGACCTAATTTTTTTATATATATTTTAGAATTTAAAATTTGATTATTTAAATTTAAATTTAAATTTTATAATTTTATCAACAGGCCATATTGAAAGTTTGACGTAGTTATTAGTATGGTTGGGACCGGCTAGCAATTTAATTAGGCTGTTGGAACTGGGATAATCCTAGTTGGTGATGGGCGGTGGGCTGGTGGCTAACTAAACCAATGATTGACCGAATATTTGGTGGTCAAGTCCTAGGTTGATGAAATTTGGTAAAAATTTACTTAACGCTAGACCAATGCCCCGGTTCTGGTGAGCGCCGTGGCGTTAAAAAAAAAATCCCGCCAGAACAAATTTTTTAGTGTTTATAATTTGATTTTAATTGATTTAATTTTATTAATTGATCGGTTATAAAATTAATTTTCATCTACTAATAAAAATGATTTAAAAAAATAATTTTCAAAATGAAATTTTAATCTAAATATAATATAATTTAAATATAAAATAAAATATATGAAATTAATTATTTTATTTCATAAGTTATTAGAATTCTTGATATAATATTTTGATATTTAAATATTTTATTGAATAATTTTATTTAAAACATAAAAAATTTAAAATATAATATAATTTAAATATATTTTTATTCGATTAAATGAAAAATAAATCAAATTAATTAAATTCAATTCAATCAATTCATTTTTAAAATTAATAATTTTAATTTAATTAATAAAATTAAAATAAATTAATTAATTTAAATTAATTTTAAATAATTCAATATAAAATTAACCAATCTTAATCGATCAAATAAAGATCCATTTAATCTCATACTATACACGGTACAAAAATTTTTATTTTCTGCCCAAAGACCCTCTTAAACACAGTTTTAGCCATGCGACGTCGATTAACCACAATCCAAAGCCCCCCCCCCCCTAATTTTTTTTTATATATATTTTAGAATTTAAAATTTGATTATTTAAATTTAAATTTAAATTTTATAATTTTATCAACAGACCATATTGAAAGTTTGACGTAGTTATTAGTATGGTTGGGACCGGGTAGCAATTTAATTAGGCTGTTGGAACTGGAATAATCCTGGTTGGTGATGGGCGGTGGGCTGGTGGGCTGGTGGCTCACTAAACCAATGATTGACCGAATATTTGGTGGTCAAGTCCTAGGTTGACGAAATTTGGTAAAAATTTACTTAACGCTAGACCAATACCCCGGTTCTGGTGAGCGCCGTGGCGTTAAAAAAAAAAATCCAGCCAGAACAAATTTTTTAGTGTTTATAATTTGATTTTAATTGAATTAATTGATTTAATTTTATTAATTGATCGATTATAAAATTAATTTTCGTCTACTAACAAAAATGATTTAAAAAAATAAATTTCAAAATGAAATTTTAATCTAAAATAATATAATTTAAATATAAAATAAAAATATATGAAATTAATTATTTTATTTCATAAGTTATTAGAAATCTTGATATAATATTTTGATATTTAAATATTTTATTTAAAATATAAAAAATTTAAATTTAATTTAATTTAAATATATTTATTATTCGATTAAATGAAAAAATAAATCAAATTAATTGAATTAAATTCAATCAATTAACTTTTAAAGTTAATAAATTTAATTCAATTAATAAAAATAAAATAAATTAATTAATTTAGATTAATTTTAAATAATTTAATATAAAATTAACCGATCTTAATCGATCAAATAAAGATCCATTTAATCTCATACTATACACATAGTACAAAAATTTTATTTTCTGCCCAAAGACCCTCTCGAACAACAGTTTTAGCCATGCGACGTCGATTAACCACAATCCAAACCCCCCCCCCCCCCCCCCCCCAAAAAAAAAAGTGAAATTTAATTTTAACCTTATGGGCTCACGTGGGATCTTCGATTTTTAATCATGAGCATCATTGAGACCAGCAACTTCAATTTTTTTAAAAAGAAAAAAAAAGTTAAAAAATGGTTTGAGCTGATTAATTTACTAAAATGCCAACTTTGGTTCACATCATATTGATAAATATTTTAATACTAATGCAATCAATTTGGTAGCTCAAATTGATGAATTTATCCATATTTTATGTTATAACATATCTAGTTAAAGTGAAAAAGACACACCTCTTATTGTCCACTGTTTCACCCATCGATGAACAAAAATAATATATTAATATTTATAAGTTATTTGAGTTTAATTCGAATAAAATTTAAATTTGATTCGATTATTATAGAATCGAGTTCGAGTAATTTGATTTATCGATCGAGTCGAATTTTAACTTATACTAGCCGAGTACTCGTGAGTGAGTTTGATTTTAAATTTTTTTTATTATTTTAATTAATAAAATATCTCGAATTCAAGCACAAATAATAGAGTTATTGTTGAGTATAAGAATCAAGTTTATTTTTACATATTTTCGAATTTAATAGAGTGAGTTCGAGTAATTTGAATTTGATCACGAATCGAATTCGAATTAAAAAAATGAAACTCGATCAAGTTTGAATTGAATATTGAGCAACGAATTGAAAGTCGAGCTCGAACTCAAACTTCTCACTATATCGATTGAATTCAATTAAACTCGATTATTTTCTTAATTACTAAATGTGATTATATTATAATCCGAATATTATAATCTCAACTGGTCCAATTTGTAGAGGACACCTGCGAGGTTCAATTTTTTTTTTTAACCAAAAACAAGAAATAAAGTTAAGACTTGTTTTTCTAGGTCAAAGGGAGAGCTAATCGAATTTTATTGTACTAGATTGGGAGATCCATCTATACTATTATATTTTTTATGCAATTTTATTACTATTATATTTTGTGATGTAATTTTAATTATTTATGAATTAAAATAAAAATATTTTATCATTTTTATGTCATGCTGATATATAAAACATTTAATTTTTTTAAATTTTCACGTACAATAAATATATAAATACAAAATATCAATTGGATAATTTAATTTCGAATAAAAATTTTTAGCTTATAAAATTTTAAAAATGTTAAATTTATTTAAAAATCAAAATAATTTTTTTAATTATATCAATTTATTGCTTTTGAAGGAGTAATTATCAATCATATTCAATATTACTGCTATTATTACATTTACATATAAATATATATAACTGATTTTAATTTTATTATAATAATATTTAATTTCATAATCACCATTATTTTTAATTTTGTTGCAATGAATATCACCGTTTCCCTAAACCCACATCGAATATTCATTTCAATTGCAGAGCTGGCTATCCATCACCGACGACAATAAGGTTGCCTTTGTTTATTCTTTTGGGCATAAAATAAAAAAAATATATTATTAATAAATTTTAAATTATAATAAAATATTTAATATAATATTTAAAATTTAAAAATTTATGATATGATATTTAAATTATAAATTTATTTATTAATGTAATATTTTAAAAATTATTAATGCATAATATGTGATCATTTAAAATTTAAATATCATGTTAATTAACATATTTATAATTTAAAATAATAATATTTAAAAAATATGATTTTTTCATTATGGTTACCATTACAATTAAATTGAATAATTTTTATATTCGTATAATGTAAAATATTAAATTTTATATATTTTTATAATATTTTATATAAAAATTATGTATAATAATTCCTATAATTATAAAATTATTTTTTAAAATTTATTAAATTTATATATATTACTAAAATTTTAAATTATGATTTTTTTTATTTTTTATTTTTATATTATATTTATATGTTATTTTTTTATTTTAAATTATTTAACCTACTTTCAATACCGTCCAAAAAAAAAAAAACCATATCCTTGTAGACAAAAAAAAAAAAGAGAGGTCTATAACCTGCAAAGGTTGCAACCGACTTTTTACAGTCGCATGTCCTTATTTATAATTTCTACCTATTTTCTGCATTTCTAAAAAAAAAAACCGTACTAATAGTACAATAAACAAATAAATAAACCCAAAAAGCTAGGCGTTTTGTTTTTATCTTTCTTTCCTTGTTGGTCCCTCCATTTTCAGTCTCTGAAAGACTGACTCATAGTTACTGTGGGCTGTGCTCTGCATTGTTTCCTTTCCTTTCTTTTTTCAAGCTCTTAATTTTTCTCTCCCTTTTTTTGAATAATAAAGGAGATTTTTTTCACTATTCAAGTACCGATCGGTAAGTAACTCACCACTAAGTTCTTCCTTTTTTTTTTTTTTTTTACTAAAACGTCGTAAAAAAAAAAAACGTGAAAAGAGAATTTTTTGAATAATAGAGAGTAATAATGAGGTGCCGGAATTTCTAAAAATGGGGAAACATCTCTTGTTTTTGCGGCTTAGATTGAAATATCATTTTCTTCATACCTTCTTTCTTCTATTATTATTATTATTATATGAATTGATTTAACTTTAGAAAAGGTAAAAAAAAATTAAAAGATGCTTTTTTTTTTATTAGTTTTTGTTACTTTCGTTTTCTTGTTTTTGGAGAAAGTGAAAGAAAACGACTACGTTTTTTTTTTTTTTTTTTTTTTAAGGTTAAAAGGGTTTCTTTTATTTTTTGCTTTATATTTATGGCTGAAATCTGAGGAAGAATTTATCAAATCGTTAAAGGGAATAAGGATATGATGAGTGATACCTAGGAAGGGGACAAGAAACTTTCTAAAAATTTATTCTTTCATGATTTCTGTAATTTTTTTCAGTAAAAATTATAAAATTAAGCTTACTTGTTTGCTCCTATTCTGTTTCAATGCAAAGTTAATAATTTTTTTTTTATGGAGAATAAATTTATTTGTAGAATTTCTTTCTTGCAGTGATGGTTTGGGTTGCAATTTTGGTATTTGTTGATTGATTCTAATGTTTTCTGTGTGGGTAAAAAAAGATGCTGGGATAGCTTTTTTGTTTTAAGGCTGTAAACTGTTGAATTTATGGAAAATTAGGTTTTCATTGAACTTTTTTACAGTAGTTGATCCGTCATTGTGGGTGTCAGTCAGGGACCTACTTTGTGGGATTGCCCAGATAATTGAATGTGAATTATTGAATGTGTGAAGGTTTTTACAGTACGGTATGGCAAATAAAATTAAAACGTGAATTTTCTTTGTTTTTTTTTCATCTACTTGAATACCATTACTGCTTCCTAGAATTATTGGAGAGAGAGCCGTCTGTTAATGCTGTGAAAACGGGATACTTAGTTTCAGATGGTTGATAGCTAAGGTTAAATAAATTCTTGTAGGAGTTTGGTGGTGGGTGCAAGTGTTGCAGGTTTACAGAACACTTAAATAATTTTACTTGGGATTGAAGTGATACTTATTATCTTAATGATTTAGGCTTACATATGTGCAAGAGCGAATAGAGAGTTTGTTTTATATTATAATGTCAGCTTGTTTGTGTTAGCTATATTGAAGGGAGGAGAAAAGCTGTTCTGCTATTCTTGTTCTGAATTCGTAAGGTCGAAACTATGATCTTTTTGATGTCTTTGCTTATGTTGTCTGTTTTAGAAGGACGGAGATTGATACGTGCGTAAAAATTGCTCGGCTTGAGAAGTGATTGCTTGTTTAGTTGAACCTCTCTGGTACACTGGTAGCAAATTTTGAGTGAAGTGGATTCAAAGTGGCATTTGTAAACCTCTTTAGTGTAAAATTGGGAAGGAGTGGTCAAACTATTGTTTTGTTAAAGTGGATTGACAATTTTCTAATTTGCCCCTCTCTAGTTCTGAGAAAGAGAGATGGTTGGGTTCTGATGCAGTGAGATTTAGAGGTAAGTTTTTTTTTTTTTTTTTCTTGATATACCATGATTAACTTTGCTTTCTTTTGCATTTTATGTTTGTATACGGAGTCCACAAATGGTCTCCTTCGTATATAGAGTTACTGAATTTAGCATTACTGAATTTTTTTTTTCTAATTTATTTCTTCCATGAATTGAACAAGCCTCAAGGTTATTTTTTCAGGATCTGGTGACAAGTTTATATGAAGAAGATTTTGTGAAGTGTTCTATAAGTTCTATCTCTCTGATGGAGTGGAATGCCAAAACCCCCTTGCAATGGCACTGTGAAAACCTAATGATGTTAAATGCGACACCAAAAGAAATTCCAAGGAAGCTAAGACCAGTAGAGTGGGATATTGATGGAGAGGGAGGAATGGACTCTGGTTCTCTCTATTCTTCTGTTGCTGCTGGAGGTATTTGTGGTTCTGGCTCAGATTTGGGCCTTGCTTCTTTGTCGAAAAATTCAAAATCAGCATCCATTAATTCTTCATCTATGGGGGAGATAAGAGCAACTAAATTGACTTCGGAGTCCTTTGAAGCTATCCCAGATGATAGTAGCAACAAGAAAGAAGCTTCCAAGGTTGAGCCAACAGGTACTTCCCCAACACTTGAGGTTTCGGTTGGCTCTGGTGAGCCATTGCTGAGTTTAAAGCTTGGTAAGCGAACATACTTCGAAGATGTTTGTGCTGGAAACAATGCTAGGAATTCGTCTTATTCTGCCACTCCTGGACCATCTCCTACCTCAGCAAAGAGATCCAAACCCAGTTGTCGGGACACGCATGTTCAGCGTTGCCAAGTCGAAGGCTGTAACCTTGACCTCTCTTCAGCTAAGGATTACCATCGGAAACACAGAGTTTGTGAAAGTCATTCAAAGAGTCCAAAGGTCATTGTAGGTGGTCTGGAATGCCGGTTCTGCCAGCAGTGTAGCAGGTGAATATTTTTCTTGGTTCTGGGGATTTTTAGGTTGGAAGTTGGTGGTATCAAATAATATCATCTTTATTGAATGTGTACTTTTGCATGGTGGTGCTCTAATTATCTTAGTATTAAACACTTGAGGTTCTTAACTGATAGTAGTAATTTGATTCCTTATTACTGAGCTTGTGATTCTATCTCATAATAAATGTTGGAATCATAATTATGCTGTATTGTTGTTCATGATGTCAAAGGTTCCATGCGCTGTCAGAGTTTGATGAAAAGAAGCGAAGCTGTCGCAGACGCCTTTCTGACCACAATGCCAGGCGCCGCAAACCACAGGTAGAAGCAGCCCACTTCAATGCTGCAAGGCTTTCGTCATCATCATATGGTACTGGTTTCAGACTCAACTTGGATATATTTTATGCAGATAATTTTTGTTGTATGCTACTATCACAGGAATAGACCAACTGGACACTTGTATCATTTTCTTTCTTTTAACTCTCAAATTATGGACTTGACTTATTCATTAACCGAGCCATATATATTTAATTGACTAAGTTATCCCATAAATGGTGCTTGGAAGTCAATGGTAATATGATATCTTGATATATGTTGCATATTGGTTGCAAATAATAATGTCAATTATATCTTGACCGATTCCTTAACTCAGTTGTATCTTGATATTTTTATTTTGATAATATGGTCAGTGGTATACTTAGGCTTGTCTATTTATTTCTTTCCTCTTTAGCTTGTACTCCTATAAATGGTGCATGCCTGTAATGGTTTATTCTAGTTTTCTTGTATTTACATGTTTGACATCATTATTCGCTACTAATTGTATATAATAAAAAAGGCATGGTTTATGCAAATTTTGAAAATTACAGACCTGGGAATTGCTAAGTTATGAAGTCTACTAGGTCCAACATGTCTAGGTTCCTGATGCTTACATGTCCACTGAGATACTATGGAAGTTAATTATCTCATGCATATCTATTATTTCCCTTGATTGTATTCCTTAATTTATATAAGCAAATAGTTTGGGGAAAATTTACACCGTACTTTATTGGATGTTATGCTTCTAATATGATTTCTGTTCCACCTTTCAAGTTAGAAGTTATATTTGCAATTTTGTTTGTTAGCATCTCTTAACTGTGTACCATCTTGTGGTCATGCAAGTATGATAGATATCAGGACATGTTAATGTGTAAGGCTCGATAAGTTGTGCCTCTGCTTGTGCAGATGGGAAGCAACAGATGAGTTTTGTCTGGAACAAAGTGCCATCTCTTTATAATGCTAAACCCTATGAGAATTTTACATGGGAAGACATAATTGGCTCCAAGCCCTCTCTAATGAAAGGCTGTACACCTACAAAAGTTGGAAATGTCAATGGACAGCTGCAACTGCCTGGCAATCAGCCTTTTAATTCCATCAAAATGCGATGTCATGATTCCAATAGATTCCTGCCTGCCAAGGGCTGGCATAACACAGCTGAGGTTCTCAACCAAGGTTTGTTTTGTTTTCCTACTTGAAAATAAGATTTATCATATGCATATGGTTTTTGATTGTTGACAAATTTTAGCATCTACTGCTATCAAAAATTGCTTTCAAATGCACCTTGTAAGACAATTAATACCCTCAAGATTGCTTAGAGAAAAACATGAACATAATTACAAGAGTATGACTGTTGGGACCGATGTGGCAGAATCTCAATGTGCCACTAATTTGGAATGGTACAAATGGTTGGTGAAACCCCAACTCCTCTGCAGTATGCAGAGGTACCCTTTCACATGCTAGATATCATTCTTGGATAAGTGAGTTTTGACCATTTCTTTATCTTAATATATCTTCCATTTTTTCATCAAAAAGTAAAGAAAGAAAAAAAGTGCCCTTTTTTTTTCACTAAACCAAGGTTTCTACGAATAAGGAACTAGAACTTGCCCTTTTTTGGCTTTTTGAGCTAAGGTAGGGAATAGGGCCATATTTTAACACAAAAGTAGAACCCCTGAACCACCCATCCTCTTGGCCGCTTCGCACTGTTCTATGTCAGCTTTGACATTTTTTGTAAATTATATCGAGACCAAGAATAGATTCTGTTATAAATGGTAAATAACTGGGATGTGACTGTCAAGTGGAATGAAATTGAAATGTAGTATTTGAATGAGGAGAAGCAATAGTTTCAAGAAAGCTAACTTCCATGTGGAGTATCTTTTGTTTGCTAACGGATTTAAGAAAATGAATCTAGTATTTTCAGATCATTATGCTACAAAATTTGTCCTGAACGCTTTTAGATAGCATGTGATGATTTGTTTACACTTGAATTTGGTGGATTCCGGAAATAACATGCTCAAAGTGGGTGGCAATAGATGTTTGATGATGAAAACATGGTTCTCTAAGGAATGGTTCATGCGTATTAAAGTGCCATGCTGCCCTTCATGGGGCATGGAGTAATGCTACTTGAGGGATCACATACCTATAGAAACAAATTTTAGTAACTTTAGGTCTTTGGCTCGGAAAATTTTTCTGGAATATGATAAATGAGCGACAGAAGATGTATAATTGACTTTGCAGCACAGGGGTGCATGTGGCTGATCCCAATGAGAGATAAGTAACGGTGCTGAAGGCCTCTCATGTACGTTAAAATGATGCTCTCCTTACTGAACTGATTTACAACCTTACAGGTTTGTCAAATTTTGTAGGTGTAGAAGAATCCACAGTTATGGGTACGACGCAAGAACTTCATCGTGCTCTCTCTCTTCTGTCAAATGATTCCTGTGTTTCTTGTGGGCCAAAACATGGTTCACTTGCCTACTCCATGCATGTTAATCCTGCCAGCATGTCTCAGCCAGCAATGAATGCAATTTCACGAGGTTTTCCACGTGCGTTATCTGAAAACTGGCAGATGGAACAACAAACAACCGGTTCCCAAGTGCATACAGCCTTGCATAGTGATAGTGAAAATCATTTCCAAGAGTTCCAGCTGCTCATGGCTCCACATTATAGTGCCTTCTATTCCAATCATATGAACTGACTGCACAAATTCAATTAACTTTCTTGTTCAACTTGATGAGTTTACTGGTCAAGATATGTAAGTTCAACAAATCTAGTACGGAGTTTTTCGTAATTTGGAATTGCTAAGTCCCATTGAAGTCAATTCATGCTTAAATATTGTGTGCACCGCAAATAACCGACGTAAATCCACGTCCAAGGTACATTTTCATTGTTAAAATGTCACGAGAGGGAGTCATAATCCATGTAATGTAAACGATTCATTGACGTTCGGAAACGTTCAAACCAGAGCACGTCAGCGAAAAGAAATGGTCCAAATTATATTGGTTCATCGTTTAAAAACAGGACTGGACAATCGATGAGGGAAGCCACTTTCACTAGTGTATTGATACCTGATGAACATGCCTGCTATGAGATTAATAGCCGGTACTTGCATGCCTGCTATGAAGTTGATTATTGGTTCATTGCGGCTGCTTTGTGGAGCAACTCTTCTTGTCGCCTCGGCAGGTGTCGGGTGGTATAGGATGTGGGCACAGAATTGCTTGGTTGATGATGGGGCAAAGATCTTGCAAAAGATCCCTTTAGGCAACGACATTTTCCCCTTCTCCTCAAAGATTTGTTGTTTACTATTGAACTACAATCAAGGGCAAATTCTTTGAAATTTTTTACCTTTTTCTTCAAATTTTAGTTGCAGGAAATGTGAAAAAGAGTTGTGTTGCAAGTATTGACTTATCTGTATATGGTTTATATCCGCAATCAAGAACACCCCTAGTTTCACTCACAATCTTGGTGTCGCAGATTAGATTTCAATTGCTAGACACACCAGTATATTAGCCATTAGAGAAATGCTTTCATTTAGCAGGTGACCATCGGACATTGAAATTTCAAAATGGTTTTGCCTGATACAACAATTAGGTTGAAACATAATTCTTGAAGACAAACATAAAACGCTGCTCCTACACTAAAAACTATAAGCCAGCATTACTACCGTTCATTGCCCTTCATAATTTTACTTTAAGTCCATGATCATGGATATTTGAAGTTATGACCTTGGTGTTAGCCAAGAAAAAAAAAACCAGGCTTGTATTCTAACACAAAGTATTGTAAGGGAGTCCTCGAACAAAATCAAAGCTTACATGTCTTACAGACTCGTAAGAACTACCTGCAACAATTCAATCATGAGAACCAAAAATTATGACATCACCATGGGCTTCTAGACAGGCAGCTTCGTGAACTTAATCAAACAGACATTTTCTCCATGCAACATGCAACATTAACTTAATCAATCATATGAACAATAAGGGACTTATGCAACATGTATACCGACAAGAATCCAACGAGTTCTCAATTCAAGATGACCATCCTCCAATGACGGGGAAAATACATATTACAAACAGCAAAGTTGACAAGAGTATTTTAACATCAATGCAATTATAATGTACCAGGGAGGACTAGGCTTAACCTATGATGGTGCAAAATAGGAGACATAGTGACCAATCATACTCCAGTAATTATCATATAGGGATCAATGTGTAATTTCTGAAAGATCTAATGAAATCTTGCAAAATCACAACAATAGATCCCTGATTATATCGAGTCACAAGAAAAAAACACTTTACAAAATGGGCCTCTGCTTCCTATAGTCAATCAAGAAAATAACTGAAGAGATTTCCTACTCCAGGCATTACTTGACCATAGATCTAATTAAATATTGGAAGCTGAGTACTTCTTATGCTTCTACCAGAAGCCTTCTTTTGGAACAAATACATCTCAACACAGACAACAAAAAACTGAATGAAAACCAGAAATGTGCAACCTGCGGTATTTTCCCAACTAGCAACATATCTAAGTCCATAGATGAGTTGATTCCAAAGTACAAAACCTACCTGACAGAAACCAGAACCCACATGTAACATATTTTCCAGATTAAGATGGCTGACACATAATGCATCAACAAAAAATAAAGACTGCAAATACCATAGCATTGATAGAACAACTGGACACTGATCATAATTAGGTAGAGTAACTTGACAAGTTCTGCAACATGAGGACGACAAGACTGACTTTCAGACACCCACATTGAGCAATGCTGGATGACAACTCTGGACCTTCTCAACCCTCAAACATGTCCTAGTACTCACTGGAACATTAGCCAATAGCAAATCAATTGAAAGAAAGACTAAAAGAAACTAAAAGTAACAAGGGAACATTCAAGCATCTGTGTACTAAAATGCAGGAAATAAAATGATAGTTTAACACACACTGAGTGAAAGAGAGAAGAGAGAAAGGAGGTATCCCAAACAATTCTTTAACTAGGAATAGTTTGAAGTATTGAAAGCTTACTGAATTCTTAATTTGTACAAATGTGGTCAACAAAAACAATAACTTCAAGTAACAAACTAGACGACAGAGAAAATGCATCAGACCACGAACCTTATCATTTTCATTAGTTGTTGGTGAGGGGGACTTCTTTGACTCAGACGGTTTGTCAGCCCCACAATTTTGTCTATTGCACTTTGTCCTAAAAGGATAGTTAATATTGCTACATTTCTCACACTTCCAGCTTCCCTCAGGCATCTTTTGTTCTGAAAAGCATGGAATACATATGCATCAAATTTCAAACATATGACACAATGATGTTTACAAATTTAAAAGAACTTACTTGAATTTTTATCTGATTTTGAAGCCTGCATTTACAATAAAATATTGTTATAAATAAGAAATAGATTCATAACCGCAGAAAAGTAATGCAGTATTTTATATATTTTTTCGTTTTTGAAGTACCAAAGGTAAATTAAATGACAAAGAGCAGCTAAGTAGCATTAATATTAAAATATATAAATAAATCAACAAAAACCTGAGATCCAGGCTTAGGTGTGTTGCATTTCCGCAAGTTACAGACAGTTCTGAAAGAGAAGTTGATATTCCCACATTTTGGGCACATCCAATCATTATCATGCATAGCATCTGGAGAGGATAAGAAGAAAAAGTAGTCAAATTATTGCATAATATTCCCAGATAATGGCTTCTTTGAACGTAAAAAGTAGAGATATGACATACCTGCACCCTTTTTCTGTAATTTATCATCTGGAAAAAATCCTGGCCTTGGTCCCTGTAGGTGAAAAAGTATATACGATATCATAAACTTTAACTTCACATATAAGAAACTGTAGCTCCACCAAAATTTAAAAAATATGGGATGGTCTAAAGAGAGTAGGAAAAATTCAGAACCAATGTGCAGTGTGCATATTGGTAGTAAACACATGCTTTTGCTGCATCTCTCTAAAAGCAAATACACCTAAGGAGGAAGAGATGCATACTCAATAAAGAATTGCAAACGGTCAAGACATTAAGTAAATCAAGTTTACAATTCCAAACCTATAACATGTGCAATTAAAACATAGAAAAGTGATACAAAATGCTAAACTTGCAATCTTAATTTGACAATCCTAACAAAGAGTGATCTCAAACTAGCATTAACCTTCTCAACGTACCATTAGAGGGCCAATGGGCGACCCCAAGCCATACTGGTCCATCAGAGGCATGCCATACATCCCACCTGGAAAAGAATAATTAACAACTTACAAATGTGATATTTAATAGCATACTTAATGTCACCCATATACGCATAGCGATGGTAAGGCATATTTTGCAGATAAGAATGAATTATGATCAATTGTTCTGGGTCAACAATTTAATTTGCAACTTGCAAGAAAGTATAAACAGGAGAATAGAATAAGTAAAAGGCAGGAAAATAGCAATTATAAACTGGAAAAAGCAAATTATCAATACCATTTCCAATCATAGAGCCACTAGAATAAGAGGGTGGTCCAGACATATGCAGTGGCTGGTAGGGACTGCCACCAGAAAGACGACTGCCATAATTGTAATGATAAGCTAATCCTCCAGAAAAAGGAACATCATATGGAAGAATTGCAGAACCGTTGAAGAGGGAAGAACCATAAGGTGGTACACCCAGATACATTGAAGATGGTACACAAGAACCTACATATGGAGCAGACGACGAGTAACTCTGTTGGGCTTGTAGAGGCTTCGCAGCAGGTTTCTGCAAGGGAAAAATTACCAACTTAATCTTAGAGAAACAATGACATAAAATAAAATAAAATAAAATAAAATAAAATAAACTACAAAAGGTTTAGTTTCTAAGTGATAAACAAACAAAAGAAAGAGGCTTATAATCAACAGATTTTTGAAATGAAAAGAGATGACATAGATAGACTAAAGCAAACCATACAATTCGGTATTACACAACACACCCTCTAATCTTTTTTTCCTCTGTATCAGCTCGGAACCAAGTATTAAAGTAATTAAAAACAACTTGCTAAGCCAGGTATTTCTAAGAATCTGCTCTTCTATTACTCATAGTGTTAAAACAACTTCACTCTAAAGATCAGTAAATTAAAATCCAAAGAGCCAAAACTACAACAATAAAAAATTCATACACTCTCTGATCTTTTTCCTCTATATCAGCTCATAACCAAGTATTAAATTAATTATAAACAACTTTCTAAGCTAGGTACTTCTAATCTGCTCTTTTATTACTAATAGTGTTAAAACATTTTCAATCTAAAGATCAGTAAATTAAAACCCTAAGAGCCAAAACAACAACAATAAAAAATTCATCCATATTCAAAACTCTCGAAATACTTTGAACGCTAACATGTGGCTAATAGAAATCAAGACTTACTGAATTATGATCAGCTGGCCTGGGTTGAGTGCAATTGCGCATATTACAACTAGTCCTAAATGAAAAATTGACATTCCCACAACTAGGGCATGTCCAATCATCTTCCCTACGACCACCTACAAATTTAACAACAAAGTTACAACATAGCCAAAATTAAACACAAAAAAAGTACACAGAATTAAATACAATTATTAGCATACCATCCGTTCTAGCACGTTTGGCTGCCGAAGAGTTTCTATTATCGACCTGAACCGAAAAAAAAAAAAGAGCAGTTAATCACCATAAAGAATCAATGTTTTACGAAATTTAATTCGCATTCTGAATAAAAAATTGGAGAATTGGGCAATATCAAGAGAGGAATTCGAAAGAACCCTACTTTCGCTTGGGAATTGAAATTCTATGTAATTTTTACATTAGTTCTATTAGGATTGGATGCATTGATAAAAAAAGAGGGAAATTTGAGAGAATGGGAAGAAAAAGAATACCTGAGACATTGAGGCGGCAGCGATAGAGGGCGATATGCTTCTTTTGGTTTGAAGATTCGAAGAACAGGCGCGCAAGAGAGAGAGTGGGAATCGGGAATTTGCCCTACGATTAAAGGGCGGTAACGGGCTTTAAAACATAAAAGTGGGGGATTTACTTAAATTTTCGTTTTAAATAGAAGGCCGTTAGTGTTGCCGTCTGATTTTCTGACGCCGTTTAGTTAAGGTGATTTCGATGGTCCCACTTGTTTGGACTTGGGGACCTCTTCATATTTTGGAATTTGGATATCTGACTATTCGAAAACTTGCATAGCATAAAATATTAAAATTAATGTATTTATATTGTATTTTATATAAAAATTATATATTATAATGTGATAAAAATATAAAATATATATTTTTTAATTTTGTTAAAATTATATATAAATATATTTAAAATTTTAAATCTAATTATTTTTAAAAATTTTATTTATATTATATTTATATCGTATTATGATATCATATTTTAAATTATTAATTTTAAACATAAAAACGTTTATCAATTAAGTTTGGTTTTGTTTATGATTTTTGGTTTATTCTTAAAATTATTATTTCTTATTGGTTTGTGTTTATCGAAAAGTATTTGTAATTATTTTAATTAAATGAGTTTATTTGTAAATTTTAAGATAATATTTATGAAAATATAATTGAATATGTTAATAAATAATTAAATAATAATATATAATATTAAAATAAATTATTTAAAAATAAATAATCATTTCTAAAATAATATTTTTTAAAAATTAATAAAATATAAATAAACATATCGATGAAGAAATAAAATAATAATAATATGTTTGTAAAACAAACATATTTTGTTCGTTTATAAGGCAAGAATTTAACAAGTGATCTTTTTTTTTTCTTTTCTATGAGCCATTTATATCCCAACCTATAATAAATTTAAATAACATAAATGAGTTTTAAACTGCTATTTTTTTGTAAAAAAAATAATAAAACTTTTCTAACATTTATTTTTTAACGGTTCTCCTAATTAACATTTTACCCTTTTAATTTCTTGGCCTCCATTTCATTTAATTCATTTAAAGTAAGGAAACAACAATGCAGTTGGAATGAAATAGCAACGATAAAATTAAGTTGTGGCAGCTAGAGATAGAGAAAACAACGTGATCAGAATTTTAATTCAAGTTGGACAACCCCAAATATATATTAAAAAAAACAACAACAAAAAATACAGGAAAATCATCATAAGTGGCAATCCGTTTTCTGAGACTGGAACGCCAAAGTCCTTAATTAATTCAGTCCAGAGTCTCAAGCAAAGACTAAAGCAGAGAAGCAAATCCAGCTGGGAATGCATAGAAAAATATGGCGGAAGCAACCAGTAGAGTGGTGGAACCAACGAGGTGGATTCCAAGCTTGGTTCCACTGGATTTACTATCACTTTTCTCTGAAGCAGATGACGGTGTTCCGGCGGATACTGAAGCGGGTGTCGTTGCTGTCGGTGAGGAAATATTGGTGAAGATGGCAGCGTCTGGCGAGTTTGGAGATAATCCAAGAAGCTCTGTTCATTCAAATGGCAACATACAATTGATGTATTTAATTTAGGACCATCTTTCGTTATTATTATTATTATACAGTATTGAATTGAATTTTCCAATCTTAATTATACGACGGCCGAGGTTATCAATGTCCTTTTAGGACAGTAAGTAGGATAGTTTCTACTTTGTCAACTTGAAAGAGGATTCTGTTTCTTCCCTGATTTTGTCAGGAAACATGAACTATATACATACATATATAGTAATCGTGTTTAACTGTCTTCCGTTGAGCTAATTAAAAGTCAACTAGCAGCCCCAAACAGACCATAAAGCAACCTTAAAACTGGTCCGGGGGAGCTTTGGTTTTTAATCTGCATGCATGCAGCCCCAAAGCACAAAATCTATTTTCTTTCATAGGTTTTACTTAACAGTATCATATTATCAGACGTAACCCGTAATGAATTAAAGACTTAGCCTTCGTTCAATTAGTGGTTTAACATGTTCAGCAAGATTGAGTTTTGTAGCTTAAGAGAAACACTTCTACTAGGTATCAAAGCAACAAAGAGAAAGAAAAAGAGAGCTCACTTGGGCAGTAACTGACGCTAGCGTTCTTTAACTGGCAAGCAGAAGGAAGCTGAAGAAGCTTGGTTTCCTGGACCCCCAAGCTCTTGAGGTTCTGAGCCCCAGACGTCTGAGTCTGCTGAAGAATATAGCACAAACATTTAGGCTCGCTTTCTTTAATACTCGACACCGAACTACAACACTCCTTAGTCGGCGTCGCCACCTTCCCTTGCGCAAAGCTCAGGCAAGTCATCACACTCTGGAAATCTTTGCTGCACTCATTTGCTAAACCACTCTCATCAGCAGCACCAACCCTCCCAAATGAAGCGCACAGCACCAAACTGCTCACCAACAAGGCCAAAACAACAGAACCCTCTACTCTCCTTTCTTCCATTCTCATTATTCTTCGCTGATTTGCTTTCTTTCTTTTTTTGAGTTCAGATTTTCAGATTGAAACTTGAAATGTCTTTTCTGCTTTGTAGAAGAACAAAGTGGAAAGTGAGAAATATTTTAAGGCTTATATTAATGGCGTGCAGTTGATTGGCAAGAGTGAAGAGTTAAGGATTCTTCTATAGGACCGTTGATGTGAGTATATATGGTCCCCAATATGAAAATCAACGGTAGTGATGTTTAGAAAATTTAAGCTAAGAGATTAATGGAGCGCTGTGGTTGTTGGCCAGCAGTAAAGGTTAGGAGTAAATCGGTATCATAACAAATACCAGTCGTCGGTTTCAGACAAGGACTTTAAATGAGGCTGAGCTGTAAGGCCAACCACGTGTCTTCGACGTCCACGTGGCAGAACTTGATGAACATGGGATGTACATTAATTAATTACTAGTAAAAATACCCGGCTACCCGGGTTAAATTTTTTTATTTTTAAAATATAAATCACTTAAATTTTTTAATAGATAATATATGTATTTAGTTGATTTTATGATTTAAATATAAAATTTTTGGAAAAAATGTAATCATTAATTAATAATATTGTTAATTTTTTTGTTAATTATTTGAAGTCAATATTATTTAATAACATTTTTTGTTATATTTTATAATTATTTGAAAATAACTATATTCTATTTTTATTATTATTGCATGAGGATGTTTCACTCATTCAATTAATAATTTTATTTTATTAATATTTATTTAATATTTTAAAGCAATTTCGTAAATTTAAATATACCCTTAAATAAAAATTAATAGACATAAAAGAATATTAAAGGCATAGTTGATTAATTTTTTTTTTTAAATTTAGATTTAAATCCTTAGACTATTAATGAGTAAACAATAACTCAATTTCCAAATGAATTTGATTTTGCATCAGATTTGTATTAATATGAGCCGATTTTTTTTTAAATACCCAAATATTATGTTTTGGAGCCAATTTAAAATTTCCTAAACCAATCAAAATATTCCTTTTCAACTTCCAATTTTTTCATTTGTGATTTTGAAATTTAAAAAAAAAAAAAGATGTTTATTGTGGTGATTTTGCTTTTTTTTTTTTTGTCATAAAATTTAGTTGGTGTTTTTCAATTGCGGGAAATTGTGCTTTTTGTAGCTTTTAGATGGATTCTTTTTTTTTTTTAATGAAATCTTGAATTTCAAATTTTTAAAGTTAGTTTTTCATATTTTTTGCTAATATTTTCTGGTTTAAAGTGTAAAAATTAGGGTTTTTATTTTATTTTTATTTTAGATTATTTATTTACATTTTAGTTATAATAGTTATTTTATATAATTGATTGTGTGATTTATTTTTTATTAAGAATAAAATAATAATTTTATCTAATAGACAAATGTCAAAACGAAATTCCTTAAAAGAATTTTTTTTTTTATATATTGATATAGATTAGAAAAACGATAAATGAGTCCCTGCTATCTTGGCCTAGTAACCAACGAGCCTTAAAGGGCCATTTGAGGGTCAGTTTCGAGCCAACCCATCCCCCACTCTCTTGACTCAAAAAAAAATAAAAAAAAAATGAAGTGTTCCGATGTTTAAAATTGGGAACATTTATTCCTGAGCTGAAAGGGTAATGATGCTATTTGCTACTTAAAAAGTAATTTAAGTTTTCATCACTTTATTTAAAAGAGATTAGTATATTTTTAATTAAACTTATGATTAATATTTATTCAAATCATTTTTATTTTTAATTATTTTTAATTTATTATTATGTTAAGTTTTAATTATAAATTGAATTAAAAATGCATTATTTGAAAGTAGTGAAATTTTTTATTGATTTTAAAACAATGGAAAAGATTTTTCCCCTTGCTGCAATTACATGGATAAGGTTTCCCCTTTGTTTAAGAATTTGTTAAACCTAAAGGTATTTGGATACTGAGACGTTTCTAAACAGGGACTAAAGACGATAGGCGCAATAAAATCTGAAAACAACGAGTGTAATTTATCTTAATTTAAAAGGTGAAATGGTAAAAAAAAAAACCCTAATGTAAAATTTCATATTCATTTAAGTTTTTTTTTTTTTTTTACAATAAATTAAACTTTTGAATTTTTATTTTCATCAATTGAACTCTTATTAGATAAAAAATAATTATTTATTTCTATTCAATCAAGGATTTAATTGAATGAAATAGATGTATAAAAGTTCAATTGAATAAAAAAAATATTTAAGGATTTAATTAAGTAAAAATAAATATTTAAGAGTTTAATAAAAGATTTAAAACTTGACTGAGTGTAATAAAATATCATAATTTAAATGATTATTGAATTTTTATTTGAAGTCTTTTTTTTTACCCTTATGCTAATTTAAAACTAGTGAAGGTTTGTATATCAAATGATAGCATTTTGCTTACAATTATTTAATTACAATAAAAAATTATGTAAAAATTTATCACTTTTAAAAACAAATTCAGATAATACTTTAATAAATTTTACATAAATTTTAAATTATAATTATTTAATTATAATATGATTCAGTCTGATCCCAGCGTTACCATTATTATTGTTTTCAATATGTAGTTCATAACTACATGTTTGTTAGCCATCTCATTTGTCTCTATAGGTACCTTATTTTTAATTTGTAGTTGTAATTAAAGATGTAAATGATACATTAATATTCATAAGTTATTCGGGTTTAATTCGAATAAAATTCGAATTTGATTCGATTATTATTGAGTTGAGCTCGAGCTTGAGTAGTTTGATTTATCAATCGAATCGAGTTTGAGTATTCTTATATTCGATTTGAGTAGTTCGTGAACCTAATTGAGCTTTTATATTTAAATTTTTTAAATTATTTTAATTAATAAAATATCTCGAATTCGATTTTTGAGTTCGAACTCGAGCACAAATAATCAAACTCTTATTGAATATAAGAATCAAGTTTTTTTTAACATATTAATCGAATTTAATTGAATGAATTCGAGTAACTCGATTTAGATCACGAATCGAGCTCGAGTTAAAAAAATAAAACTCGATCGAATTCGAATCAAATATCAAATTTCGAATTGAGAGTCGAAATCAAATTTTTCATTGTATTAATTCAACTCGATTCAATTATAACCCTAGTTGTAGCCTTAAAGGGATATTAACGAGTCTAAATATAGAAGATTTAGACAGATGTTTCATAAATAAATAAAAAAAGAAAAAGAAAGATACAGACAGGATTTCTAATATTTTCTGAAATCCATGGAATCAAATAGAATATGTGATAAATCTCCTCAATATGATCTTGCATTTTTACCAAAATATAAAATATTAAAATTTATATATTTATATTATATTTTATATAAAAATTATGTATCATAATTAATATCGATATAAAAATATAAAATATTTTTTTAATTTTATTAAATTTATATATAATTGTTAGTAAAATTTAAATCATATTATTTTTATTTTTTTATTTATATTATATTTATATTTTATCATCGAATCATATTTTAAATTACTATATTTACTCCAAAGGCTAAGCTAATTGGATAAAAATAAACGGTGTGATTATGGAATCAGTTTTTGTATTCAAATGAAAATCAGAATTTAATTAATTTATAATAATTTAAAAACAAATTTAATCAGTTCTTGTCTTGTTTTCCAATGGCCCAAACAATCCCGTCAAGATCAGGATGCTATTTTTTATTTCTTGAAATGATGGAAATAGTTGTCCAAAGTTATTATTAGGGCCTCCAAAGGGTCAGTCCAAGCCCGTTCCCTTTAAATTGGATCCCCAAAGTCTAAAAAGGGCATAGGATCTGTTTGCTACTATTTTCTGTTGTGTTGTTTTGATTTTCACTTAAAAAAAATATATAACAATAATGTGTTTGGTGAGCATGTTTTTATTAAAACAATAAAAATAAAAACAAAATTTTGAAATTCCAAGCTTTCAGAAAATTCTAAAGTGTTTTTGACACTTTCATTGTGTGGGTTGTACAATGCTCATGCAGTTATAGTCCAAATTTTATTTGTGATTTAAATGCCATAATTGAAGGAAACTTTTCAGATGGAAGTTCAAACCACTTTGATTTAATTATTATTATTATTAACTTGTAATAAAAACATAATGACTGAACATATTTTCAGTTTTAATAAATTAAAAAATTAAAAAATTAAAATAATAATATAAATTTTTATTACGTCAACAGGACAAAATTTTAGTATAAATAAGAGAGAGGAAGGAGACTTAACTCGAAACTAGACCTTTGATATTTTCTCAAACTCCTTTAATTATCATATCAAAGGCTCGAGAATAAAATAATAATAATAATTTTAAATATATTCTTTTTAATTTACTTTTGTAACAAAATTATCATATAAAGTGGAGACTTGAAAGTTATTTAATTTATTTATTTTAATATATAGTTGAATGCTTTTTATTATGTCAAACATAATATCTATCAAAATTTTCTTAAGTAAGCAGATAAAATTAGGTATTGATCCTTTTCAACCTTCAAATAAAATAGTCAAAGATTGTCAAATTTAATCAGTAAATTAAATTCCAGCTTAATTTAATTTGACCATACTGTTATTTAAAAAATATTATCTAATAAATTTTAATATTTGTATTTTTTTTATTTTCATATTGGATTTTACTTTATAAAAAAAAAAATACTAAATCGAGTATAAATAACATTTCAGTGCTACAATTTTAGAAGATTCACTGTCCTCCCAACGAAAGAGACGAATCCTCTACCCTTCCAACCTTTTTGGCAAGGAATAGGGGGAAGCCCCGTCTTCGGTCCCTTGCCTTTCCACTTGGAAATAACAAACGCCATAACATCATCAGCAGAGTCAGAGCACGTGTAATTATATAAATGCATCTGATGCATGATGGGAAGATTATTATTTGCTAAACAACAACGGAGACGACGGAGACATTGAGATAATTATTACTAAATTAAATAACATACCAATTCTGGACCCCACAGAGAGTCCGTCACCCAATTATCAAATGCTACGTTATCCAACGTGATAAGATTTCGACCAATAAAAAAAGACAAACATGATAAGACAAATATCAGACCAATGCTCTGCAACAACATGCATAACACTATTTGGGAACCGCGAAATAACTTTTTTTTTTTTTTTTGAATATCCTTTTTAATTAATTGTCTTCGATGAGAATTTGATTAAAATTTTTTGATTCAATTAGTTTATTGTCGAACTGAGTTTAAATTATTTTAATAATTAATTAAATTAAATTTGAATAATTTAATATTTAAATTAAAAGCTTTTAAATCAAATAGAACGTAAGTAATTTTTATTTTTAAATATATTTAATATATGTATATAAATAAATGATAAAGATATAATATATAATATTAATATTTATAATTTTATCTAAATTATTAAATTAAATTTGAATGATTCAATTAAATTATTAATCAAATTTAAATATAAAAATAAAATACAATTAAATTTAAATAAAATTTTAAACTTCAAATTTTAAATGAATGAAACTAAAATTTAATAATATATCCACTTTGTTTAATTAAATTACACCCTATGCCAAACCACTCTATTCAATTTTAATACCAACGTCACCGCACTATTTATTTAGAAGTCCTTCTTTTTAATGAAAAATATATTTTTTATATGTATAAAAAAAAGTTTCGGTTCAATGTTGGAAGAAAAAAAAATCTAAAATCGGCCGGCGTTGTTTCTCTACCCTCCTTTGCTTCCTCTTCTATATAACAAAAGCGAGCCACATCTTAGACCAACAAAGCCTTTCTCATTTAATAAAGAAAAACTAATATTTTCAACCGGTGAAAAAAGAAAATGACTAGAGAAGAGAGTGTCAAGAATCGGCATTTCGTCGCCGATAAGAGATGGTTTCTCCCTGTCGTTATCGCTGGCCTTATTGCTGGAGCGATACTTATCTCGAGCTTCGTAAAAACTGCCGATTATTCCCTCCTATGCTCTCTCGCCAAAACCAGATCTCAAGCCATAGATGAGTACTCTGCCACGCCGATCCAACTACAAGCCATCATCCACTACGCCACGTCACGCATCGTTCCGCAACAAAACTTCGCGGAGATCTCCGTAACCTTTGACGTCCTCAAGAAACGCTCTCCTTGCAACTTCCTCGTCTTCGGGCTCGGCCACGACTCCCTCATGTGGACTTCTGTTAATCCACGTGGCAACACCATATTCCTGGAAGAGGATCCCAAATGGGTCCAGACCGTGCTTAAAGACGCGCCAAGCCTTCACGCACACGCCGTAAAGTACCGTACGCAACTCAAGGAAGCAGACGATCTGCTCTCGCATTACCGATCGGAACCGAGCTGTTATCCGTCGAAGGCGTACTTACGTGGCAACGAGAAGTGCAAGCTTGCCTTGACGGGGTTCCCCGATGAGTTTTACGAGACGGAGTGGGATTTGATAATGATCGATGCGCCGCGTGGATATTTCGCGGAGGCGCCAGGTAGGATGGCAGCGATATTCTCGGCGGCGGTTATGGCGAGGAACAGGAAAGGAGCCGGTGTGACGCACGTGTTCTTGCACGATGTTGATCGGAGGGTGGAGAAGGTTTTCGCGGAGGAGTTTCTGTGCATGAAGTACTTGGTGAAAAGCGTAGGGAGACTATGGCATTTCGAGATCCCACCCGCTGCTAACTTGAGCAGCCATGACGGTGCTCGGTTTTGCTAAAATGCGCCCCTTCTGTCCAACGCTTTTAATTTTTTAAAAAATTTAACTTATTACTACTATTATTTTTAGAATTTTTCTTTTTTATTCTAAATTATAACTAAAAAAATTAAGTTATAATTATTATGATAAATGATATACTTTAAAATAATTATTGTTCTTTCTAAGACAACTAGGCTAGGATTTTTTCTCTTTGTTACTGTAATATTTTTAAAATAAAAGTTGGGCTTTTTTTTTTATATTGAGATTCGTGGTGGAAGCTGTTCATTGCTGGAGTTGGCTATGGCGGTGCTAGCAGGGAATTTTTTTTAATCTTTCAGTTATTTTTATTTTGTAGTATTTGACCGATGAAATTTCGCTTTTCCTGTCTGACTCCCCTTGAATATTGAAAACACTAAAAATCTGCTTTTTCTGGTTTGAAAACTCAAACCCTTTCCTCTGATATTTGTGAAATTGAATTCGTACCTATTGCTGTAGTTTGGCAGTATTTTGGTGGCAGAATTGTATTGGCATTAAGGCACGTTTACCGGAACTGGTGTCTGACAAGTCTCGCTGTGAAAAACGATAGGCATGGCTATGAAATTTGGTGAATGAAATACTTATTCAATAAAAATAAAATAAAGAAATAATAGTTATTTTATTCCTTGACTAATGAAATAGAACAGAGAACAAACATTACGAAGAGGAGTAGTTAAAACCATGTCAAGGAAGAAATAAAAAAGGATAAAATTAAAAAAATAAATTGCATTTAAATTTCAAGTACTGATGATAATGAATTGTATTATGATCTTTAATTCTATATCTCTTTAATTTATTGAGGAAAAATTATTTGAATCTTTTCCCTCAAATAAAAAAAAGTTCAATATTTTTAATGTAAGCATTATTGCATTTGCATTGTGACCCTTCCCTTAGTTCTAATACTAAAATTACATATTGAAACATAGATCATGCTTTACAATAATATGAATTAAAAAAGAAGAAAGAAAGCATTGAAGAAAATGTGAATCTAGGCTGAACATGAGGTGGTATCAAATGATCTTTTCCTTAAAAGGAGGCAGGTAATCTTGGATGGCTGAGCATGGGTGTTATCGAGTGTACACAGCACAAAATCAGGCCTGTGGAGGGCGAGTGATAGCCGCTCCTCACCGAAAACCAACCTTGTTGCATCAAGTAGGACGTGCCATGAATTTCTGTGTGCCTCTGAGATCCAATGCATGGAATATCTAGTCCCATTTACATCAGCTGGGTAGGAGAAAAGACCTTTGGGGCTGTGTTTACATTTTCTTCTGAAGTTTTGGCTAAGTTGGGACCCCTTAATCCTCAAATCCAACCATGTTTCTGGTGCCGAAATAACCTTTGATTCTCTTTGGATGGCGAATTCCCTTATGAAGTCGGATTCTTCAGTTATAATTGTCAAATAGTAGGTCCCTCTAAAGAAGGGATAGCTTTCTCCTATCAGCATCATAGCATCCTTGTAGTTGGGCATGAAAAGGACCAAATACTCATCTTCACTTAGCCTGCAATGTTTCAGAGCCCTGTTTCGAGCTTGAATTTCTGGTATTGAAATGAAATTCCCCTGAAAGGAAGTTTTCCTGGTGAGCATATCTAGAAGCCTTGAAGGCTCCAATTGGGTGTTGTCAAGGTCAGAGAGGCCATTAATGGAGGGAAGAAGAAGAAGAAGAAGAAAAATACTCTCTGCTGCCAACAATCCTTGGGGACTTGCGCTCATCATCGTTCATGGTCTCAGAGGATTTCTCATTGGTTGAAAGATTATCAACATCAATCTTTTCTCCATCTTCTACAAGTCCATTGGAATATTGTGGATATTTTGCGAAGACATACTGCTGGACATATTGCCTTTCACTGGGTGTAATAGGGCCAGACCATCTCAAGTCAAGGCCTTGTAATGTTGAGATTGCTTCAGCTACCAAGTGAGCAGGAATTACACTTTGTGCTCTCTGTTGTTGCAGGTTGGAAAGAAAATCATCAAAATTCAAATACCAAGTAAAATAAAACCTCATTAAAATGATTTTCTTTAAGGCCAGATTAATTAAAACAAAGACTTGCCTTGATAACCATGCTGCTTGGTCTGCCATTTTGGCTTGGTGAATTGGGTATTGAAAGTAAGATTGACTGATCAATTTCACCTTCTGCCATATCCTAATCACAATCAAATTACAAGCCTTATGTCAGATTTTTTCTGAATCAAAAACGATATCAAAGCAACCTGCAAGTTAAAAGGAATAGCAAAAACCTTAAGAATAAGGTTTTCTTCTATGTTCCTTTCCATGATGCCTCCTCACTCGAAGTTAGGCTATGGTCCTTGTGCCATATCTATGCACTAGACAAACCAGCAAGCAGCACCTAAAAAGAGAAAACAGGAAAAACAGGCAAGAGGGCAAATTTCTGATAAAGATGTGAGAGCATAGCCGAAGTCAGTGTGGCAATTTGAAGATTTCCCAGTGCAAGGATGGACTGAAAATCAGTATTAAAAGAGCAAAAGTTCATTAGCAACAAGAGAAAAACGCCGCCAAGTGACAACAGCAAGTCCCACAACGTGAAATTATTTTAATCAAATTCTTCAATAACGCTCGAAAACTTGAGCTGACTGACTGAGACCGGCAGACGAGAAAAGCCAACTACAAGAAATAATGCATGCTCGTTACCAGCTTCCGTGGATGGTTACTAGCAAAGGATCATAAACCCATTAAAAAAATGGCTCTGAAGTAAAGGACTTACCTAATAATAATTGCATTTGGCTTAAAATCTCTGGGGCTATAGCCTATCTGACCATTGGCCATTGATTACAACATTGATTTGGACTAAACACCTAACGATACCCCTGCGAGTTGCAGGTAATATATACAAGGATTGAGAAGGAGACAATAGACATAAATATATTTTTATAATTATTTAACCAAAGACAAGATTATTTTATCTTACGCTACGTTTGTTTCGTAACAAATGATTATTAAAAATTAATTTTGAAAAATATTAACATTTTTTAAATTGAAAGAAATTTTTTGTTATTTGGGTGAATTAATGAAAAATATTTTTGTTTGATTGTTTTTTAGAATTTTTTAAAAATAATATTAATATAACTATTAAAATATTAAAAATAATTTATTATTAAAATATATTGAAATTATTTATTATTAAAATGATTGATATTAAAAAATAAGTATATTTTAATAATAATATTTAATATTAAAATATTATGTTAATATTAAAATATTTAAAATAAAACTATTTATTATTATTTATATTATTTATTATTATATAATAGGTATTACTTATTAATATATTATATTCATAGTGTATTATTTATTAATATATTAATATATTAATTAATTAATTAATATAATAATATTTTTAATTAAAATTATGCTAAAAAATATTGATAAATAAATCTATTCATAAATAATTTTTTTTGAAAAAATTTTTCCTTTTCAAATTCATAAAATAATTTTTTAAAAATAATTTTATTTTTTATTGATTAATTAATTTTTTACAAAATAAATATCTAAAAATATAAAAATTATTTTTCAAAAATAACTTTTTACCAAATGGAACTTTTAAGATGCTTTTGTTCCATGTCTTCAGTGGGAATTATTATAATAAACTGCATGAAAAGATAAGACAGCTGCAAAGTTTTAGGCTCTGAGCCATTACTCTTGATCATAAAAGTGGAATGAAAAATGGGCGGCGTCGATCGCGCAACGATTACAAAACGGTAGTTGGAATCTCTTTGGACAGAAGTCCGTCCATCGCAGTCTTTGAGACAAAAAGAAAAAGGTAATATTACATTAGAAGATCTGTCTTGGTCACATTCTACACCTTATTTTATTCTGATGATAATTTAATCATATTAAGATAATTAATTAGTTCACAATGTGTCGAGAGAGGAGCCTGTTGCAGTGCTTGTATATTTAAATTTGTTAACATTTAATCATTAAAAAAAATTGCTAACATTTTTACTTCAAAAAAAGAAATTTGTTTAAGATTTTGAATCCAAAACATAATTTAACTCAGTTATCATCTCTTAAAAGTGATATTTGACAAATCTGAAAATCAAGTTTGAACACATGCATGTCTCCCAACCACCCTTTCTTCACCCTGACAAGTGACCTTCTAAAAAAGAAGGTTTCTAAGAAGACTCAAGGAAAATTTAAGGAGCAAATGGAGAAGGGAATAGAGATGAGGGTAGATGAAAAATGCTTTCATGAATTCAAGTACTGGGAGAACAAATCGTATCTTATTTTTTCTTCAATAAAAGGATGATTAACTATGAATGAAATACACTAAATGCAGACTAATTTCTGATTGACAAATAAATATTATATATATCATCAAATACAGATTGGCATCGCTTAGCAAAGAGATAAATATTTGACTTCAATAATGATTCCGTGCCTACGATGGTGCCTTTTGGTTAATCAAAGAAAATAAACTGACTAATTGAGAAAGGGAAAAAAAAAAAACCAGCAAGAAGAAAAAGGGAAATTAAACTGCCCCTACATGATCGTATTCTGCAGAATGCAAGAATGGGGATCACCTTACAAAAAGTATTTCATCCGATCATCTCTCCTCATAGCATTGTATACAGCTTGAACCTGTACAGCATAGCAAGTTCTATCAGTGTAAGTACAATCCTTTGTTATTTGAAGCAATTTTTTATTTTATATTTTTCGTGTCTTAGAAGGATAACCAAAGTACAGTGAATGAATCTTATATCTGGTTGTGTGTCCATGAATGTGCCCGTCTGTGGATGCGTGCGTGTGTGTGTGTGTAAGAGAGAGAGAGAGAGAGACCTGTTCACTGGAAACAACCCGAACAGGACCGATGTTAACAGATACATATTTTCCCCTGGATGATAATTTCTGCCTCACCCGACCCTATTGTGAAATCATGTGAGATGTATATATATCTTCCGCATTCTTTCTTGCATGGATGAATCAATAAAACTTGATAAAACAGAAAAAGAAAGCAGCAGGAAAATGAGATGAGCAGTTTATATTTCAATACTGATCTATTCAACATGAATCGTCATACTTCAAGGTTGTTCTTCTCTAGAACTCAGGCTTACTGCAGGAATCAGTTTGATTCTGCCATAAATATTGAAGATACAGCAGTCACAGTTATGTTCCTCAAAATGCAAACTTCTAGGGGTGAAACAGTGTCATCAAGCAATAAGTTAATCAGCTAAAACCAAGTTTCTGCTTGAGGCAAGTCAGATATCTCTTTGTGAAGAAATGCCAATATATCATATATCTCTAGTCCTAGTCTAAATCAAACCTATTTTTCCTGTTAGAATATTGCCTTAGATCAAAGTTGCACAAATGATAAATCATTTGGCATTTCTTCAAATACCTTGTCAAAAGACCCAAAACAGGGTCGTTCATGGTAACAACCTTATGCTGCCAGTTACTCTGTAGCACCCAGATGTTCCACATGACTATGAGTTGCTCACTTCCAATGATTAAAGCAATTCTGATTTTATCTGAACTGCAGGTTTTTAAAACTCCCGTTTAATCCTTCAATGTTCTACCAAAATTTCCAAATTCTTTCTTTGGTCAAAATCTGCCTGTTATGTAATACTTAGCTGATATAATGCACATTCCTAGGGTACCAATTTATTTGGTAGGCAATCACTTGTTCTTTAGAATCCAGGAATGTGCAATGTGAAATGGTAAGCCATGTACATTTCACAGAAGTCTTTCTAGTTGAGATCTCGCCTATACAGCAGCTCCTACATACTCCTAACAAAATGACTTTTACATAAACTAATACTAATTAAAGTCCAGAAGAGCTCTACAAAATATTCATGAGATATCATGGATTCCACCTTTTTCCCAAAAGTGAAACCAAAATGGTAGTTTTCACTTTTCACCATCACAAACACCTAGATTCATCTACCTATAAACTAAAACATTACCCCAAATTTATTCTGCTGTCTATATTCAAATGCATAAATAAACGGACATATTGATGAATAATTGATTTTCACCAATAAAAAGGGTATAGGTACCTCAGGAATTGGCTGTTGTATAACAGATTCAACAGCAACAACCATAGCTTGCACAAAATCATCACCTCCAGTTCCAATAGCAGTAAATCCTCTAACAGTGGGGTATGAGTTGACCTGACAAGTTATAAAGAAACAAGTACGCAGCCAAAAGAATATCAAAACTTTCAACATCAAAAATCTACAAGCTGCACTTACCACAGACAGACAGCCAAATGAAGGAATTTCCAATCGAAATGAATTCAATCTCTTAGTTCAAAAGCGAAGGAAAAGCTATTGTCTCAAACCACTTTAAAGGATATGACATACCTTCTGATCCAAAGCAAGCCATTCATTAGTTGAATCATCGGCTACTGTACCACCAATAACCACATTTGTGGTTTGCCCAACTCTCCCTTCTGTTTTTGATACCTCTGAATTCCAAAACCAAAAGTCCATATCAATAAATTCAGGAAAAATAAAATCAAAATAAGTTTGATTCAAAAGAAGGGAACCTGAAATTGCTTTGAGAATGGCTTCCTGAGGAGGACCTTGATCAAGCTCATCCTCCTCGGACGCCGAAGGCGACGGCGTTTCATTATGAGAGCAATTCAGCTTCTGACTTGGTTTCGAAAAGTGAATGTCTCGAGCCCTAACAGCCGTCACGTAACATCCGCAGCTCCCTCTCTTCGCAGAAGAAATTCCAAAGCTCTTCGACGTTTCAACAGAAAGGAAATTCCCGTTTCGTTGCAGAGGCCTCCACGGCTCAGTTATGAAAACGGAACGCAATACCGTCCTGCACGCCATCTCTGATACCTTTTCTTTTTTCCGATTAATTCCTATTTTCTAGCGTCCTTTATATATCTGGGCTCCGTCCGGTTAATGAATAACGATGTTTTTTCCCTTTCAATGGTTTGTTATGGGCGCCCCCAATTTTCCAGTAGCTTGGCCCTCTTTTAGCTGCCCATGAAGTTACGTAATTACCCTCCTTAGTAACTTTAGTTACTCAGAGTCAATTGTCTTTTCGAATTCCTGGAAATGAAGATAGTTAGTAGGGTGCTCCAATCATTTTTACGCCATCATGGAAGATAAGTCAATAAAACGGAGGATGTTCCGCGAACAACTTAACTAACTTCCACTAGTCCCGAGCGCACCTGATCTTAATTATTCTTGGGTAAAATAAAATCGTTATGAAACCCGGTTAAAACCCTAATTTTGAATCACCAGCGGTTTAGTCCGAGTGGTACTGAGTTAACCCATCGGCTCGTGGAAGATGTACGTACCCGATGGAGCCGGTGACGATACAGAACGGACCGCTTTCAGGAAAACAGAGAAGAAGTACAAGCTTTATTACGAGGATAATTGGAAATCCTCCAAAAAGTACCTCACTTTTCAACTTATATCTCAAATTTAGTTCACTTTAATTAAAAAAGAAAACGAGTCTTTTTTATTGATTATTTGGTTTGAATTTCTCAGGAAGAAACAACCTAAACAAGTCGATTTATCGGAGGTTTTGGATTTCAAATCCATTTCAGAATCCTACAATCAGAACGGTGAACTTCCTTCCGGAGTTGTAGCTGTTAATTGTGGATTTGATCGTCCAATTTTTCGCTTGGAAAATCGCCCTGGTATCTATCTTTCAATTTGTATTAATGAGTTCCGAATTAGAGAAGAAATTTGAATTTTCTTTGGTTCTTTCTTGGATGAATTGTTCTAAAAATGCAGGGTTCTATTTTATTCCTGGCGCATTGACTTTGGAGGAACAATGTAAATGGATAAGGGAAAGTTTAACGAACTTTCCGCAACCTCCTAATAGAACAAATCACAATGCTTTTTATGGGCCTATAAGTAACCTGTTTGTTGCGGCGAAGGAAGGTAAAGTATTGGTTGAGGAGGAAAGGTCAGACAATGGCTTGGATTCTGATTCGAGTGCTTCTGCAAGCAACGGAGATGCTCATAGATGGAAATTTTATGAGGAAGACATTGCGGGATCAAGGGGAAAGACTTGCAAATCAGTTTCTGCTTCTGTTTTGCTGCGAAAGCTCCGGTGGAGTACCCTTGGCCTTCAATTTGACTGGTCCAAGGTAGGTAGCCACTCATTTAGTCCTTGTGTCTTTTGTTGGTGGGACTGGGATGTTAACTGTCTAATTAGAGATGATGATACTGATCAGACAGCACTGGATAGAATTTTAAGGTTCTTCAATTTGATCTTGTTGGTTGCATTAGATTTAGTTCTTGGTTTCTAATTCTGAAACTAAAGGACCCTTCTTAACTCTTGTCATAGAAACTTATTTCATGTAAGAGTAACGTTTTGAAAATTGTTATAAGATATCATTCAAATATGATGATGTGCTGATCATAGTTCTGTCTTAACCTTGAGAAATGTGCACCATGCATGACGCTAAGTCTGTAATTACTCCTTTTCTTTAATAAATATTAAAGGGGATTGTTTATGTTGAGGTGATTTCTAAATTGATATGTATTCATGTTGCAGCGGAACTATGACATGTCTCTACCTCATAACAAAATACCGAATGCACTCTGTCAGCTGGCTAAAAGAATGGCTGAGCCTGCAATGCCTATTGGAGAAGAGTTCCGGCCAGAGGCTGCAATTGTCAACTATTTTGGGTTAGGTACTCTTTAAATACAATGGTTGCATACTGATTAATTCTCAATTTTCAGTAAATGTTCTCAAGTTGTTGGCTGAGCTTGGTTACTGCTGGAGTGAAAAATATTCACTAACACTGTGCCTTATTCTATATTATGACTTTGGCTAAACCTGTCTCCTGACTTTAAAATAAATTGAGGGTTATGTTTTAACTATGGAATTACTTAAACTTGGTGATTGTTCACCATGTGATGGAGGACATTCTTGCTAGTATTAGAAGAATGTCTATTCTCAGTGTCAATTTAGAAAATAGGATTTAGTCTCTTTATGGGCTTTTGTTCGAATTATTTTATTTAAAACCTAGGTTGATGAATCTCATACAAACACACACAAACACACACCTTTCATTAAATTTCAAAGTTAACTTTTGATTATTAATATTTGACTTTGAGATTTGAATTGAGAGAACTTCAGATTTGAGTTATAACATTAGGATTTTCAGACTATTATTGTGTTAATATTCTGGGTTATTTGTTTTTCATCACCATGTCACCTGTTGCACAAAGTCCTTTGTCTCATTTACTTTTAAATTCTCTTTTATCTTTCCAGGTGATACGCTTGGTGGTCACCTTGATGATATGGAAGCCGATTGGAGTAAGCCTATTGTTAGCATGAGGTAACTTGCTATTTCCTTCCTGTTATTTATCCCCTCCAAATTAGAAGGACGAAGGTGAGAGGACAGACAGGGAGGGGTGTGGATTAAAGTAAGCATCCTCTTAGTTTTGACTTTTGACTGTATTTTCTCTCTCAGTTTGGGCTGCAAAGCTATTTTCCTTCTGGGAGGAAAGTCTAAACAGGATGAACCATTAGCAATGTTTCTCCGAAGTGGGGATGTTGTACTCATGGCAGGAGAAGCAAGGGAATGCTTTCATGGTGAGATTTCACTTTTCAGTGGTTTTCTTTGTTATGATTTTGAATTTTTCTGGACTTGAACTGGATGATAAAATCAGTCTATCAATCAAATAGCAATACAAATGCTGCAATAAAAAATTGTTTTAGATATACGAGGTATTTGCCTTCTAGAAGGACATTCTGTTCTTTCTTACTGCCAAAGATGCCAGTCTAAGGGACAAGCACCTGATTAAGAGATTTCTCTTTATGTATTCTATGTTATTAATTACGTTCTCAGATTGCTAATAAGCTACAGATACATACTGTTAACAAGAAATATCAGCTACAACTTCTACGCGTAAATACTTTTGGCATGAAAATTAGATAAACAATTTATGTGATTGTTGGTTCTCTTCCCTAGCATCTTGTCCAACCAATTAATCATCCCTAGCAATTTTCAATTCTTGCAGGTGTGCCTCGCATATTCACAGACGAAAAAAATGCTGAAATCACTCCTCTTGAATTGCAGTTTTTGCACGAGGATGATCATTGTTTCTTAGACTATATAAGAGTTTCAAGGATCAACATCAATATCAGACAAGTCTTTTAATTTTGCTTTGAGCAAAAAAATGGAAAAGGTGATTTGATTTTGCTGTCTTCTTCTCAATCAGTTCAGTTTAGCTTTTCAACTCACAGGTCTATTGGCATTTTCGATCCTAGCTTAAGCAGCTTGGTTATTGGTTGTGTAAGAATGTACTCAACAATTTTTTTATGAGAAAAGGGAATTATTTTGTAAAATTTTTTGTTTCACTTTCGAAGTAGTAGTAATAGTACTACTCTAAGCATGCTAGGGACTGATTCAAAATTTTGTGGGCAATAGAAGGGGTTCAGATCTCAATCTTCCTGAAAGAAAAAAGAAATATATGGGAAAATCCTGAGAAAGAAGAAATATATGGAAAAATAGGTGTGGGCAATAGAATGGGTTCAGATCCCAATCTTCCTGAAAGAAAGAGAAATATATGGGAAAATCGGAAAAAAAAATTGTGGAGAGTGGGATTTGAACCCACGCCCTTTCGGACCAGAAACTTAATCTGGCGCCTAAGACCAATTCGGCCATTTCCACTCTTTTGAGGATATAATAACTGGCTATTTGTTGAGAAACATAATAATCTTATTGAAGCCTTTCTTCTACTTTCATGATAATAGTGTTCGTAAGTTTAAAGAAAATATTAGAGATTGAGTTCAGCCTTGTCCTTCCCCTTTTTTATATAATAGGGCATTGCCCTCTTTTGAACAAAAAAAAAAATGTTCATAAGTTTAACTCAAATAATTTATTAATTACACAAAATTTTAATAGTTAAATTTTAACATTTGTAACATATAATTTATTAATCTTTATTTTATTAATCACTAAAAATTATAAATTTTAATATTTGCAACAATTTTTTTTATTTTTTAAGTTTTTTTTTTTTTTAAATCATGATTTCTTTTGTTTTTTCGCTGTTGTTGATTTCCTAAAAAAGACGGATCATTTCCTCTAGCAGCTGGGACGTTTTTCCTTTCTTTCACACCTTTTTATCATTACTGACTCAAAAAGACCAAAGTTTCCCGTGCCGAAATAAAAAAATTCAACGGCGTTTTCCTCATGCTTGAGGTTAGGTTAGGTCACTTGTTCGAAGTTAGCTTTCACATCACAATCTTTTGCCATCTTTGCCGAAATTCCTTTTCTGAATCCTTATACACAATAATGCCTTCAAGTTCCAGAGTTCGTTCGCCAATGAATTACTGATATAACGTAGCTTTCACCGTGTCGGCAAATTAATACTTAGAACTATTAACTTCCATTTTAGGGTCCAATAATCAACACATCTCTTTTTTCAAATTTTGATGTAATTTATGGCCTGTCGGCTGAGCAGCTGGTCGGATATTGGTTAGAAAAACTGACATGGCCTAACGAATAGAACAAAATAAAAGGTAGTCGCAAATAGCATTTAAAAAATATATATTATCAATATTTATTTGTTCGAGTGATAAATAATTTAATTTTTTTAAATAAAATTTTAATTTCGATTATTGTAAAAGAGAGAAAAAGATTTAAAAAGTTTATTTTTTTATGAGATCTGATAGGACATGATTTCAAATTAATCAAAATTTAAAGTAATTATCGAATACAAAAAAAATTTTAAATAAAAAAAATTAAATATATTTTTTTATTAAATTTAAAAAATTAATGTATTAATTATATTTATATTTTTAAATATGACATCACTATCATCACTAAAAACACTAATGAACATTTTATTTTGATAAAATTGGATGGCACATGACATTATAGGATTTTCGATTTCCATGGAGGAAGTACAAAAAGGGTTGCTATCACGATTCATTATGTCGAGAAATGAACTTCATTTGGAACTTTGAGCTATTCTTAATTAAGCGTGAACTTAATGGGAATGAGAGTATAAAAAAGAAGGCCGTGATCGACTTTTAATTTGGGAGAATTTGGACATCTCTATGATGAATATATAGGAAAAGTAACAAAATTACAAAAATGTTTGATACTAAAATTTTTATATTTTGTATATAAAAAATTAACTTAAAATTGATCCAAATCATATATATATATATATATATATTCAAAAATTTAAACCAAAATACATATAATAAATTTAAACTTAAAATTTCAAAATTTTAATTCTCAAATTTGTCATTAAACCAAGACCTTCTCCATTTTAAACATATTCTCGACGACAAATAGAATTGAATGGAATATAAATCTAGTACTAAAAAATTTTTTTTTTTTTTTAAAGAGAAATAGCTTAGGATATAGTGAGAAGTATTTTTAGGAATGAATCTTTAAAAATATCCATTCGATCGATTCAGTTAATTTTAAATTAAATTACTCAAAATTAAATTAATAAAATTATATTATTTTATTTTTATTAATCAAATTAAAATTTTTAATTTTTAAAATTAATCGATAAAATATATTAAATTAAATAAAATTTAAAATTTTATTTTTCTCAAATATAAAATAAATTAAATAAAATTAATCAACAAAAATATTTAAATACCAAAATCATAAGTTAAAAACTCTAATTACTTGAAATAAAAAAAAGAGTATTTCATATATTTTAATTTTATATATAATTTTTAGAATATTTTAATTAAAATTATTTTTAATAATCAATAAAAATTAATCTTTTAATTAAATTAAATCAATATAATCAATTAATTCAATTAAAATAGAATTAAAAACACCCTATGAATCCCTATCCATTTCAGTATCATTGGATAAAATGGATGAAAGACGATTAATTCATGACCGTTGATCAAAACAGCAATTTCTGAAGGAAAAATGGAAAACTAAAAAACAAACATATTTCTCTCCATAAGAATCTGGAGATGTCCAGTCCAACACAGCAGTCAGCTGAATGCCAAAACCCAAGTTATCATCCAAAGAAGAGAATAGAAATAAGCAACGTCGCTCACACCTCCAAAGCCATGGGTCAAAATAAGCACAACGGCTACAGTCCAAAGGCCGAAACCCCAACGCACCACACCAAACACTCACGCTTCTACGTGTACAATTCCATGGCCACCTTTTTTTTTTATATTCCCACCAAAAAAAAACCTAAATATTTTAATTGCTGCGAAAAAGATCTCAAACGTATATTTTTTTTATTTCTCTTTCTCTCTTTGGCTGGTGTTTCTATTTCTTCCTCTCGCTCTCCTCCGTGTATTGAAAGCTTCCCATCCTATCTTAGACGACATGGTTCCGATCGTTTTGACCCAGGTGGCGACCGGCTTGAGTGTGTTGGCAGGGGCTGTGTTTGTGAAATCGTTCATGGACCAGAAGCCCATGACCGGTCCGTTTCAGCGATGTCCAACTTGCAACGGCACTGGTCGCGTCAAGTGCATTTGTTCACGTTGGTCCGATGGCGATCTCGGATGTCGGACTTGCGCCGGGTCGGGTCGCATGGCGTGCAACAGTTGCGGTGGTTCAGGTACGGGCCGACCAATTCCGGTCCAGCTTTCTGTACGTCAACCAACGAACCGAAGCTCCTAATTAACCGGGTTTTTTTTCTCTTCATGAATCATGACAGTCTCAAAACTCTCTTCTACTTTTATAGTTTTGGTAAGTTGTAATCTTTATAATGACTGTATTCAGATTCTTATAAAAAATTGAAGTAAGATTACTTGCAATTTGTTTTTTTTTTTTTTTTTTAAATTTGTTGCGTAATCCATTTTTAAAAGGTAAATATCTATAGTCTCATCTTTTTTTTTGTTGATTGTCAATTATGGGAAATTATAATTTTTTTTCCTATCGTTGTTGGCTTATGTTTACTAAGAATTTGGAGAATTGTCGTAAAGATTTACATTCCTGGGCAGGAATTACGTGAATATATAAAATCGGTCTCTTAAAAAAATCTTAAAAATATTTGAAAGTTTTTTTTTTTTTTTAAATTTTGTGAATATTGATGATGTAATAAGAAGACTGAACTTGATGATGTGTTTGTTTATGTAATTGAAGCGAAGGAAACAGTTGAAATTTAATCTATTGTTACCCGAAAATCGGATACTTTTGTACAAAGAGGTTGTAAGATGTAAAACGTATATAAAAAGGAGATTGCATGTGATACTCGTTGAGTTAAATCTTGAGTTAAGAGACCAAGTTATTTAAATTTTTTTATTTTTTATACTATGAATGATTATATAAATAATTAAATTGAGATGAATCCTAAGTTCGGAGACCAAGTTATTTAAAGTTTAATTTTTATATGCTCTGGCAAAAATTAAAAAAAAAAATACAATGCTTATGAATTTTGATGCTTGTACCGTAAGTGTTGCTATCTCAAATTGAACTATTTTTTTTCTGTTATATATTCAAGTTGGTGCATGGTTTAGATAATAGAATAATGGAAATGCAAAAAAAAAAAAAAAATCTTTTGTCATTGGCACAAGCCAATCCTTAATACACACCGCTTCTTTTGGTAGTTAAATCTAATTTTTTTTATTCCTAAAACTACCGCTTCTTTTGTTAAAATAAAAAAAAGCTGGTTTTCTCGTTTTTGTTGTATTTAAAGAAAAAAAGACAGACTGTTGGTACGTCAAAAGGTGCACTTGTGTTTGACCTTGTCAAGCCAGATTTCAAGTGCGTTGGAAGGTGAATCATGAATGAAAGAAGTTTCTTCCATAGTTTTGGGCGACTGGGTCAGACTCAGCCGGTCAGGATTGCCAACGAATATGCACATGCATGCATAATTTCTCAGGATAAATCTACCACATGCTTATTGCACTCCTGACGGCACGTTGAGCCCCCTTGTTCTATTTCTTTTACATGACTAAGAGGCTGCCTTCTTCTAGAAATTGATGTTTTCCATATCTTTGAAGACATGAAGTCGTCAGCAGTAATTGATTATCGTATAAAACAATATATTCAAGATTTTAGGCAGGTTGTAACTTATAATCTCAGCTCATTCTCCACACAAAAGCGTCAAGTAACAATGAGCACTTTTAAAAAAAAAAAAATTTCCATTTTTGTTCAACCAGATTTCTGAAAGGCAATTGAGTAAGTCAACGATGACGACACTCGACATATGGCTGCTGCTACATATTCAATATCATTCACCATTCCCTTTTTGGAGGTCATCTAAAAACATGTAGTTCAAAAATGTACCCAGATACGTTGTACCTGAAGAATGGAGAACCAAATTTCCATTTTGCAGGAGACCAATCTGACCAATTATGAAACTCTACTAGTTCATGAATTCAAATCTTGAGATGGGTCTTGTGGAATTTATGGGATGGCAGAGATTTATCTCTCATTTTACAACCCAATATCACAGGCATATACCCAAAAAAAAAAAAAGAAAAAAAGAAAGAAACACTCCTAGGATCATGTCGGCAGGTGACGATATGGAATGCAATTAACATTGCAACTCTTTACGACTGTTTTCCTGTAATGAGGTTCCGAGGAGAGTATCAGGTGTTTGAAAGTTGAAGCAGTTAGATCGAGTAGGTGCTTCATCAATGAGGATTATTTGAAGTGTTAACAGTGGTAATTGCAAATGACTAGATTGATCTTTTGGGCCCTGATCTATGGATTTTGCGACATTTTCAGGCTTTTGAGTTCTGATTACCAGTTTTCAAGATTTCATTCCTTTCACAGAAAAAGCTCGGACTAAGTAGCCAATTAATGTTGGTTAACCTCAATAAATATTCATTGCATCTAATTCCACAGAGGTATTTGTACATCACTGGAGCATCTATAGAACATACAAAGGCATTACAATCTCTACTGATAACAAACATCTCCCCATAAAAGCACACATCTTTCTATCTCCTCGCTAATTAGGCAAAGGTATGATCATCAATGTTTCTCCAACATTTTCTTTCTCCTTTGTTGTGTCTCACTTGGGGGTGAAAGCCTGAAATGGAGAATGAGACGGTTAGTCCAAGCCTACAAAATAAGCAACTAGATCTATAATTACTTGTTCTTGTTCTTGGTGAAACTAAAATACATATAAATGCAAGACAATATGAATTGTTAATTTTAGATTTGTGTCTTTAAAATTTAGACTAATTATTATGTATTGACAAATTTAATTTCATGTTAGTTTTAAACCTGAGCACGGAGCACCCTATGATATGTTATGATCTAAGTGCTACATGATTAAAAGAGGAGATGAACTTACAGCAAAAATGTTAGCATGACCAGGATCGGCAAGGTGGGCGAATAGGTTGTCAATAGGTCCAGTGCCAGTGTAGATGTGTTGGAACCATGCACCCATCACAGCCAACATAGCCAATCTACCATTCTTGATCTCTTTAGTCCTCAACTCCTTGATCTTCTCAGGAGAACCGGTTCCCCAGCCAAGAGGGTCAAACCATAGACCACCAGGGTACCCAACGTCAGTCCCGGTAAGCTTGTTATTAGGGAAGATGGGGTCGGTGTTTACACAGCCTGGCTTGAGAATGTCAGCCCATCTTCTCCCTTCTGCCCAGCCGATGAAAATAAGCTCAACTATGAAGAGGGTTGTGGTGTCAGTGAAGTATTCCTCTGTTCCAGCTGAATACCATGAAGGAGTGTTTAAAATACCAATCTTTGTTAGGAACTCTGGGATGAAAATACCAGCAGCTCCCAACATTGCCCATCTGCAGTGCACAATCTCTGATTGCACGTTCCATCTCAAGGTCTCAGGGTCAGATCCTGATAAAAACCCCTCATTACAAACGTAGAATTAGTATTAATTCAAAAGAAGGAAAACACACCGAGCAAAAAATGAAAGTAACTTTTTATTACAATTAGTGGTTTGATTTAAATGATTGTGAGGTACTGCTATGGAATTAAACTTACCAAGACCTAGAGGATCAAAACCAAAGTCTCCAGGGAGGCTGAACCAAAGGATTCAAATGAATGTTAGAAGAAGGTTAGTATAGAGTAGCCCAAAAATGGTGGTATAATGTTTTACTGAACCTGCCATCAAGCCATGGAGGAGGAGTGCTGCCTGGGAACCAAAGAGGTCTGCCGGGGTCTGCTGCTGCACACACCGCAACTGTTCGTGCTCCGGTTGGTGCTGTGTACTTTCTCACTGATCTTAGTTTCTTCCCACTAAGGAAAGAAGCGTTTGTTGTCCCCACCACTGATCCAGTTTTCTGTGAACTGTAACATTGTCTTACATCATAAGTATAAGTTGGAAAAATCTACCCTGACCATTCTACCACGGTCAGCTTCCAAAACAGATGGGATCCTAAACTGTGATCATTATTAATAGTTAACTATAAGTTCATCATTTCTAATACAATTGCATGCGCAGATATTTTTTATGGTTTTAACATTTGAAGCTGGTTTGCTAATAAGGTAAAGAAAGAACTTGCCTAAGGGATGAGATGGCAGCAGCTGCAATAGCAGAAGAAGCACAAACAGACGTCATTTTGGGTCAAAATTTTCCCTTCAATGAGTTGGGGGTGTGGCAGCAAGGATATTGAAATCTGTTTATGTATACAGGGGCTTATCTTAAAGGATAGGAGATTAGATGTGTTGGCTACTGGTTTGCCATCTGTCAAGCAGAATCTGTTATCAAGCCCTTTTACCTCCACTTCTTCTGCTTATTCAGATTAAATCTTAAGTTGGTGGTTCACATTGCAAATCTTCTGTCAAAAAATGGAAGCATGCAAATATTATTGGATTTAAATGACAAATAGTCTGCATATTATAGGCTATGGCCCAACTTCATGAACCCAACCCCATAGTATTTTCATGAAATGACCAACCAGAGGTTTTAGTAATGTTGGGCTAGGCCATCTGGCTTTTATCAGTCCATCTACTTACTTCAGAGGATCCAAATAAAATGACCTAAAGGCCCATATCAGAACAGAAAAAAGAACAACCTAATTGATCCGGCAAAACATGGGCCACAAGGATAAGAAAATTCTGGCAGCTATAATTTTTTTTATGAAGAAGGTGAGGAAAATGTTGTAAATATGGAGATTTAAAATTTTTATTTATTCAGTATTATTCTTATTAAATATTATATGAATTAATTGAATTAAATTCTGAATTCGCAACTATTATCTTTTCATTAGTATTTTTTTGGTTACAGAAAAAAGTAATGATCCATAATTATCTGGTAAGAAAGAAAGTAAAATATCAGCCTGGATGCCACAACTTCATTTCTTATCTTTACATCTGTGACAAAATCATAGCCCCCATTTATGTCAATCTGAAGTAGATAAAGTCCAGGCCCACAGCCATATTTTCTATCAACTTGCTCGCATCTCTAACCCCAAGCCCCCAAAAAGATGAAAAAAAATTATCCAATTTGCTCTTCTTATGACACTTACCTTTCCATTTCCCTTATTTTGTCCAAAAACAATTCCTCTCTCTACGTACAAGATTTAGAAAAAAAATATTTTGTAATCTCCCAAATTACTAATACCCTCAACTCTATAAAAATTTTAGATTCAGTGGTTGACAAATTCCGAAATTTATAAAAAACCAACATAGAATTTACACAGCAAAGGAGAGTAAATATGTTTTTCCAGGGTAATAATTATGTTTTCCGATAATGCAAGGATATCAAGCTCTGTATTACACACATAATAATGGACAATTTGGCATTTGCAACCCACAAGGATAAGGCACCGACCAGGAAATGGAAGTTTGGTAGACTTAACCAGCATATCTGCCACACATTTTCTCTCCGCTCTATGAACAGCCACCGGTTTTTCACAGGGCTTGACCCCCATATTATGTGAAAGTTTAGACCCTTTTTAAGGAAGCAAACGGTGGTTATTCAGCATCTAAATAATCTAAAATGTAATCTGTGAATGTTTGAGGTCTACCAACAATATCAAAGCATGTTTGATTGGAATTGGAAATCCTTTAGAAAGGAGCATGGCTTCCATGCCCTCTTTTTACTTAAAGCTTTCGAGTCCTTTTCTGCTTTTTCAAGCAGGCATGGGCTGGCTATTAGTACTCGCAATTATATCTGATGAGATTTGTTGCAAAGAAAAAGTTTTCTCTAATTATATCAGCTTGAGAATTATAACAGAAGCAGCAGCCTGGGAAAATCATACTGACATGCAAAACCTCTCTCTCTCTCATCACTTCTTTTTCTTTCAGACAGGGAAGTGGGGTCAATCAGATTACCATCCAAAAGTTTTTTTCTTCTTTAGGTCCGTTTCCAATTTCCATCCTTAGTTGCGGAGTCAACAAGCGAAACACTTCAGTCCTATGCTCCCTTGGCATCATTGACTTGTGCGGGAGAAAGAACAACACTCAATTGTGAGTTCTCGTTCTGAAAGTACTAAATCATGGGACATTTGGTTGTTATAATGACCATAACAACTTTGCCAAACCTTCCTAAAAGTGAGATTATTGTGTCGGATTCCCCCCCCCCCTCCCTGGCCCCAAAAGTTATCATGTTGTTTTCATCAACTAATGTTTGTAGCAATCATTATATTTTCACATGCTAGCAGCATTATTACAGATAAATTTAGAAATTTCGAAATGTAATTGCGCTTTCCCCAATCGAATGCCATTTGGACCAATCATACAGTTGATGAGTGTTTTGCAAGGACTTCTAAAACTGGGATTGTTGGAGTACCAATACTTTGTTTTCAAGGTGTAGACCCGCATGTTCTGAAATCCATTTCCCACAACTAAGTAATCTACATCTAACCCCCTAACAGCTCACCGGGGGGCATTATCATTACCTACTTTGAAGCCTAGCTTTTGAGGAGACAGTTTTTGACAGACCAAACTAAAAATTATCGTCAAACTGTTAGATACTATTAAATTTCTGGTATTTAAAAGAAATTACACTTTGATAGGAGTTTACTTGAAGATTGATCGATATGGATTATGCAGTAGTGCCAAATAAAATTGCTGAGACAATGAGAGCTTGTAATTTGGAACACTAATCAAACTAGAAATGATTACAACTGAGACTTTTGCATATTCCAGATCAGCATTAGAAAAGAAGAATGAAATTAAAAAAGAAAACATATCCATGCTTTTACTTGTGACTTTAGCAGCTAACTCATTTTTCTTTAAGAACCCTTTATAGCTAGGATGAAGTTAGTTTCTTCATAAAGAAGATAATTTGAGCCTTGATTAATTAGTTCCCAGTTATGATCACAATGCCTAACAAGATATTCAACCGAGAAGTCGAGGATCAAACATCAAAAATCATGAGAAAACAAAAAACGTGATTAAGCATATATGCTTGGTGACATAGATCTGCAAGAAGATCAGTGGGTTATTGGCATCTCTGAACAGCCAAAAGCTTAAAAAAGTTATAATCTATAGTCCAAGGTTTGATGATAATATATACGCTCATACTTGTTAGTATGATCTTTTTCCAAAAGTTGCCTATAAAACATATAGAATGCATATTCTAGCAGTTAAATTAATTATCTTCCAGAGATTAGATACAGAAAGTCAAAATTTTAAGCTAGGCAAGAACAAATATTAAGGTGCGTCATAGTTTAGCGGCTAATCAAATATTAAAATTCTTACCCTTTGCTTTGACTAATAAATTGATAATCATGGCGATCACACGATTAGCTCTGCTGACCGGAATTATGTGCATATCAAGAATGAACTGCCCTTAAAAAATATGATGAATTTTGTTTACTACACCTAAACGCGACTGAAAAAAAAAAAACAAATTGGAAATGTGCAATGGTTGGAATTCTATTTGGTAAAGGGGATTCTATCAGTTAACTACTTTATTAGAACCATTTGATTTGGCTTTCAAAAGTTGAGACATTCATATCAACTCAACATATTTAAGTGATATATGCATAATTAATAGTGGAAGGTGCTTTGTCTTGGCAATTTAAAATGTGACATGAAAAAAATAATACACGAAAGAGATATAAATTAAAGTTTTAGCAAAACTTATTATGGATTTAATAAAAATAAAAATATATGTTGTATTTTTTATGTTAACACGAATTATGACGTTTAATTTTTTGTGTATAACACAACATGAATACGTAATCAAATTTTTAACATTTTATATGATACAAATACATAAATTATCATATCTAGCCTCGTCCAAATGAAGACGAAGTCGTCTCACTGACCTTCTTTAATCTCCCTTTTCCTTGCTAATAATCAAGTCTTAGGTAATATTCAATCAAGATTAGATGCCGACCAAGCATCACGAATTTTGTATTTTAACACACAGAATGATGCAACAATTGCTGGCTAAATCACCTAATCCGACCCTTTCATGTTTTATCACTCAGGAATATATGCTATTATCGGTCCTTCGGACGGCCAAACCCTTCCATCATGTATCGCATATATGCTCCATCTGCATATCACAGTCAACCCTTTTTATCACTAATTATTTGTTACTGTTATCAAACGATTCCCTCATGTTAATAGATGATTGTTAGCTAGCTACCATTAATCATTTTTTTTTAAAAAAAAAACCCCCCGGCCATGTCAACAGAGAAACAAGCAGACAATGAAGTTAGATAAATGGAGCTCTCAATGGTGACGTTAGATTATTATGCCTCCAATGGCTAAAATCTAAACCAAACCCGTTGCACTTTCCTTGATTTATGACTTCAACTGAGATTTTTTAACTATATCTGTGACGATATGCCATGTGTTTGAGGTTAAGTGGAGTGTTTGTTGCTTATTTTTTTTATTCTCATTTTGTTCTTTCTAGTTTAGATTGGAATACAAGAACCCATTCCTTCTTCAAATGGCCTTGATTTTAATTACTAAAAAGAAATAAATCTTTTAGGGAGAAAAAAGTTTGATTGCATCCAATTCATTAATATGGGTTATAATTTAGGTTTTGCATGATTTAACTCCTCAACCATATAATATATATTCTTATGATATATATAAAAAATTTACAATTAAATACTCAAATTTTAGTTTGATCAAGTATCTGGACTCACATTAATTCTGTTAAAGGCAAATTGACATAAAAAAATGCAATAAATTTTTATTGATTGATATTTGTTACGTTAGTATGATATTAGTCAATGACAAAAAATATTTTTTGGAAGTAAGATTAAGGTATCTAACTGTAAATATTTTTATAGGTATCAAATTATTAAAAGTAATATAGTTCAATGCTAAATTACATGTTAACTTTATAATTTATTAAAGGGTTGACTGGTTTTTTGTGAGCTCCCTCTTTCAATTTCTAGAAACCTGTTACATCGGGCAGAAAGTTGACAATGGTGGATAAAAATTAAGAACGTACTTATGGCTGAGGTTAATTTCTGATCTATATATTTGGAATACTACTTAATCAATCTATTGTTCATGTCGATATCAACTTCATAACGTTAGAATTGGACTCAACTAATTAAAAACTGAATCCTGCTTTTTGGCTTGGTGCTTCCTTTTGTTCTTCCTTTTCAGTCCCTTTTTGATAATGATCAACAGCAAATTTCTTTACATGGTGATTATAATCACATAATCTGAATTCAATTTCAGATGTCAGATACATTAGATAAGCAAACAGGTGTAAAAGGGTTGTTTAATTTTCATATATATGCTTGATAATTATATATCTAACTCAATTAATAAAAATTTATCAAAAAAAATCATGGCCTAATTAAACTCAATCAATGAATTAAATAAAAAGATAATTTTTTTAACGTAGAAAATCCATGGACAGAAAAGAACCAAAAACAGGAAAATCCACTAAAATAAAGAAGTTGGTACTTTTCACTTGTTTCTCTTTTCATCATTGTTTGCCAGCTCTTTGAGCACTCTAAAAGTAAAAGATTATGGTATTGATATTAAACTTAATTAATTTATACAGTTATTTTTAAGAGTTAAAATCCAATAAATTCGAAATATAACTCTTTAATATTTATACATTTATTTTTTACTTTTTAAACTGCGATTTTTTTTTGTAAAAAAATAAAATTAATTAAAAATAAAGATTACCTCTAAGATTAACGTGCTTTGGTAGAATACT